AGTAGTTCCCCTAAGGAGGACTACCTGCACCTAATTCAGGCAAGCAGTTGCACCAGTGTCAGTAACACTGCTGAATTGTGCAGCAAATTCAGGCAGTTACTTTTGCCACTTTAAGAATCTATCTCTATGGCAGCGACAAATTCTTAAGTGAAACTAAACTGTAGCTGATCACCAAAAAATGAATGCCCCTCTTTGGGAAATAACTTGTCACTTGGTGGGCAGAGCCTGATGGAAAACTGGTTCACTTCTGGAGTGACCGTACACAGCAGTTGGCGGATTCAAAAGCCATTACTGGAATAAATAGCAGCCATTGATCTACCCACTCTTGTGCACTGTCAATCAAAAGTTGAGTGGACCTGATGGGGAACTAGCCTTTCAGTTCCCCATTAGGCTCTGTCCACCCCTAAATAAAACTCTTCAGCCAAGCACTTGTTAGTATGAAGGTCACAGTGGCCAGGGAGGGTGGAAATGAGTGCCCGGGGGAAGGAGTGTCCAGTGTGGACACTCCTTCCTCAGTGCAGACACAGACAAATTAATATACCTGTCTGTGACCTGGGTACAAGTATCAACACTTTAATTGCTGCAACCCATATACTGTATCTGCAAATATGCCTGGAGTCTATTTATAGGTATTTCCATACAAGATTTATACAACTTTTATCAAAGATTTACACATTTTCTAATTAGATTATGTTGGAAAACTGTGTGAATCCTGTCTGAATTTGTTAATCTTGTGTGAAATCATTTGTAAATATGCCCCTAAGGACCCATTCTCACGATTAACAAACGTTACTGATTCTGAATGGCACCTGTGTGCACCTCGCCGACAGACAGGCATTGCAGTGCAAGACATGGCAACACACTAGCTTGCACTGCACTGTGGTGTGCTGATAAATATGCTACATGCAGGCTAGTGCTACCACTAGGCAAACTAGGCAGCCGCTTAAGGAACACTGCTCTTGAGGGCATTGCCATGGCCAGAGCCACCGATAGGGCAGTACAGCCGGCCTGGTGTAACATTAATGATATTTTCCCTGGGCCCCATCAGTTCACCAGAGGGTCCCAGGAGGTGAGGAGCAGATAAGGACTCAATTTCGGGCATAGGCGGCCAATGCAGCACTGCATTTGATGATGCTGATCAGTGGAGGCCAGCTGCAGCTGCTCACAGCCTTTCACTGGCTGAGTGAATATTGCTTCCTCTGCTGCAGAGGGCAGAAGGCAAGGCTGTAGCCTGGTGATGGGAGGTGATTCAACAGAGAGCACAGGCAGCAATGGGAACCCAGTGCACAGGCAACCTCACAATTCCTGTTTTCAGAGGCACAGGGATACAGCCATATGCTATATACAGACAGACATATAGCAACTTCTGTACTGTGTGATCATCATCATGATAAATGATGAAAATCACATAAGCAGAGTGAGATGCTTCCAGATAGTCCTATTTACACTTGTGTTTCAGGGACATTAAAATGTATGGCTGAGCCACACTTTACTGTCCTTCAACCACTCCCCAATATGCTGCAAAGGCACTGCCACCATAGTATGGCAATAGTGGCGCGGTGTTTTGTGAAACCCCCTGCTGCCATACTGGTGTCAGTACATTTGCAGCATAATGGGGAGTGGTTGGGGGACATTAAAGTGTGGCTCTGCGCAGGTCCCTGTTAATGACCTGTCACTTCTGGGTCGTGGTGTCACTGTCCCCAGACAGGATTGGATAATGTTAGCTGGAGATGAAGCCGTCTCCTGCAAGCTTCAGCCAATCCATGAAGAAGAGGTATCCAGCTAATGAGGTGCTGCGCAAACCTTGCTGCGTGCAACATCACTTCCTCCCAGCTCCCCAGTCAGTCTCCACACGGAGCTAACTTTGGCAAGGAGGTAAGAATACATTCCAGCATAGGCTAATAATTTTTTTGAAGAGGGGGTGCAAGTAACTGGTCTTGCCTCGGAAGCAAAATAGTCTAGTACCAGCTCTGGCTACATGCACATACTTTGGCATGTTGGGCAGCCCATTCACTTAAAGCAGGGCACAGCATAACATGTGCTAATGTACCATAATAGTGTGAATGGGCCTTAGTACCCATTGATATATTAACAAAACTGTTTACCTGCATTAAATTTATGTAAAGCTAATTTTATATTTTTTGTCATTCACTCATTTAAAAGGGGAAATATGGTCATAGCTTTTGTGCAATTGGACCCTGTAGAAATCTTTACTGTAGGGATGCTCCATCCTCTTCAGGTCTCCGAACTTCTGATGCTCAAGGGGTTAATAACTTCAAGTGACAGAGCTGAATTCAGAAGGGCCCTGTAGGGGATGGCTCCTTTCTCCCCTTTCATCTACTGAGAAAAAGTTCCTTCACTGTGTATACTGAATGTAATATGATCTAATTGGGGGAGATAATTCTGTGACTCTGCCCTCCTTACAGACCATGTTAGAGGATGAAGTGATCAAAGAACTTTTCTCAATGAATGAGATGGAAGGACCAGGTGGGCCCCATCAGGCAGTTTTTCTATTTAATTCAGCTCAGAGACCCAAAACTATTTACCCCCTGCATGCTGGAAGTTCAGAGACTGAAAGGACTGGCATCACTACAGTAAAAATTTCTCCAGGATCCAGCTGTCTGCATAACATACTTAATTACAGGTAAGTTAGGTTAATAAAGTGGTAGTTCTAAAAACAATTTTAAGCTAAACTTCAGCTTTAACACAAAGTGACTGGAAAAAATTATTTGAACACCCTGTTTTTATCAGTCCCCAGTAATCCACACACACTTTTATGTCTATAGAAATGTTATAAACAGTAAACAGGATGAACATACACAAAATCTACAGTATATATTTAATAGTAAGTTCAAGTAAAAAAAAATACACAAAATATAATACAAACTTGTTAAATAAAATATTTTGACACATTTTCCTGAAAAGCAGTATCTTAAAGTGAACATGCCACCATGGCAAAGCTGTTTAATTGACATATGCCCTTAATAGTAGGCTCAACAAGATGTCTGAAAATAACCTTGGTAAATGCAGAAGTTCTTCCTGCACACCCAGAGGAACACTAAACCTTAGCACATGAAAGCCAAGCATCCCGCTGTATCATACCATATAGAGAAGTACAAGGATTGCATAATGAGTTGCACTTTCTGGTGCTTAGTAGGGCTAAAAGTTATTTATCTTTGTAATAGTGAAACATTACCAAAAGTACAAGGTTTTAAAGTCATCAACCAATTAGATAAACATCCAAAAAACTGTGCTAAAATATAAAAAAAAGTTACACTTTCCTTATTGTGAAATAATTTGCACTGGTTTTTGGAGGTTTATGAGTTGAAACACGAGTGTCATTTTACCAGCTGCATGGGGAAGTAGTGCTGAGTGCAGGAAAGGTGGGTTATTTAACCACATAAATAATCATTCTAAATGAGGTTGGAACACTTAGGCTATGTTCACACTAGCGCTGTGTGCAGGCGGCAGAGAGGTGTTTGGGAAGCGTTTTTACCGCTTCCCAAACGCCTCTGCCAATTCTGCACATTACAGCACATGGTGCTGTTCTAACGGGAGCGTTTGCGTCGCGTCGAGTTGCGTCGCGGCAAAACGGACGCCTCTGGACGAGTCAGGAGGCGTTGAAGCCTCCTATTCTCGTCTATGGTGCTGCTCCGCAAACGCCCGGCCGGCGTTTGCGGTGCGGTTGCGGGGCGTTTGCGGAGCGGTAACACCACTCAAACTGCATTATAGGCGTTTGTGGGGCGTTATTAACGCTCGGCAAACGCCTAGCAACCGCCGCTAAACCGCGCATGCGGCGTTTTGCCGAGCGTTAAAAAACGCTCAGCAAACGCCGGACCAACGCTTGCTAAACGCTATAGGGGCGATTGGCAAGCGTTGGCAAAACAGCCAAGTGTGAACGAGCCCTTAAAGTGGAGTTCCAGCCTTTTTTATGTTTATTAAAAGTCAGCAGCTACAAAAACTGTAGCTGCTGACTTTTAATAAACACACACTTACCTGCCCCGGAGTCCTCTCCTCCACGGCACTGGCATCTCAACTGTGGGCACCAGGCTGTGATGTGAACCGCGCTGTGCCTCCTGATTGGTCCGGCAGTGTTTTGGGACCTGTGAAAGTTTCCAGGAGACTGCGGGAGGAAGGAGGGGGCCAAACTTCTGGCTCCCTTTGCCGCGGTGAACTGAGCCGGAAATGGGAGCGGGTACCTGTCAAAACCAGGTACCCGCTACCCAACCCCCCCCCCAAGAGGTGCCAAGTATAGCAATGGAGGGGGGAGGCAAATTAGTGCAGGGAGTAGAGCTCCCCGATAACAACATAGGATATTATAAGCTCAGGTAACAAAGGAGTTTCCATTATAAAATCATCAGGTCACAGGCTTTTGCACTCTGTTATTTCAGCTTTACCATATGTTGAAGAAAACAAGTAAATGTTGCCAGGTGCCAGGGCTGCTGAACTAAGAACCATCCATCACAATGGTAGAAGATGTGGGAGCTTACTAAGATGACTGAGTGGCAGAGGAACTTTTCACTTCTTTTCAGTAAGTGGATACGTCCTTCACTTTTCCTGCTATGTGGCACACTCTCATGCCCTGTTCTGAAATTCATTTAAAAGAAACATAAACTGGTTCTGTTCATAGAAGACAATATTGTGGAAAGAACTAAGCTACCACCAGCAACCCTCTAGCTTCTTCCTTGCATTCAAATGAAACATAAAAAAAAGAGTATCTGATTGTTGCCAATATTGAACTCATAATAGCAAGGTCATGTTTTTAGGGCATCGGTGAATTAACTGGTAGCTAACACACACAACATATTTCACTGAGACATCGAGATAACACATGCCTGTAGCAGGCTTTCAGGACAGTGGTTTAGAAAATTGGCAACAACAGGCAATGATAGTGAAGCTAATAGTTTAAAGTACTAATTCTATAAACTTTTGGAGGAGTTCCCATCATAAATGTGTCTAAAAATTCCAATAGGAAATAGATTTCTTCCACTTTTAAACTTTTATGTAAACCCCACTGCTTTGTCTAAAAATTCAGCAAACTTTTCAGGTTGGCCTGGTGGAAAAACCTTCAGAGATGAAAGATCTATTGACTTTAGCGTGTTCCCTAGGGTACTGTGCAAAAAAAAAAAAAAAAAAAAAGAAACACAAAATTACATACTGATATGGGATAGTTTAGATAGTATGATAAAAAATAAAATGTACACAGATGTTCTGGACTTAAAATCCCATCTATTTTGCTTGTACTTTATACCACCAGTCAACATATTGTTTTATATTGCTGTCTGTGACCTTTGTTAGAACCTCCCTCTCACTTTCTGGTGCCCTGTGAAGGAAATCCTGCCAGATTTTGTAAATGTTCTGATCCTTCGCCACTTTATCCAAAAGTGAAGATTGTCTGCGGTTTCATTATTGATTTTGGTTAGAAATACAATAGATATTACTGTTTTCCTTACAAAAAAAAGTATTAACATATTAAATGTCTGCTGTCCTATCCCTTTCATTTGTAATCATCCTTTATTAAAATTATGAACAACAAAGTAAGTACATATTCTGTAAACACAGGGCCACTGAATGGACATACAAAGGAGCAAATATAAAACCTGTCATCTCTAGAAATAATATAGAGCTTGTGGCTTTGCAAGTTTGGGACATGCATGGAAAACTTTTCCACATTTCAGGCATATTCAGGACTATGCCTCAATTATAAATAAATTAAAGCAGTATTAAAACTAAAAATAAAATTAATATATTGCGGCTTACCAATCATCATGGTGGCTGCATTAGTTTTTTAGGCTTTTTCCCTTCTGTTTTCACCTGGTGATCTGGCCAGTAACACACCTATTGTATTAGAGTGCCCCCACTCTGGATGGAGGGGCACAGCGGGCAGCAGCATTGTCAGTCTGGGGTGGAGAGAAATGTTCCAAAGGTGAACTTAGCCTTTAACATGTAACATTTTCCACCTGTATTTAGGGTGGAACATGTAACACATTCCAGCTTTTGCTCCTGATCCCCCTTCCTTGTCACAGAGGGTGGGGGTTCTTTTTCCTGCACTCGCTCTCACTTTTTATAAACAGCGTTGCTGTGAGAGGCTCCACCCACACAGCCACCTCAATTATTCACAGATTCTTGTGAATGAACAAACTACAAGAACTGTCTTCCACTGTGGCAAACAGACTTATAGTTTCAGTGGGCTGAGGGGGAGGCGCTGATGAGCGCTCTTGTAGTCCACTGACACGTCCTCCCAGCTTTCAAACAAAAAGCCCAAACAGAAGTACGTGCTAAAAGCTGGAGAACATGTCTGCAGTAGCCCACATTGCACCCATGATCTACTGCTCGCGTGTGCAATGCTTTGCAATCTCTTGCAGGAAAAAATAACAAATGCCCATTTTTTTTTCTGTAAAAACATGTACATTATTTTTTCTGTAAAGGTGAACTTAGTTTTTACATGTAGTAGCAGATTTAAATACACTAACAAACTGAAGCCAAACTCCAGCTCACACTTTATAATCAGTTACAGCAAACATTTTTTTTTCCTTTTGGGATATTGGTTTTACAAGAATACATAAAAGCTGATCACTGTAAGCACCCCTTGTCGGTGTTTAAAATTTTGTCTCAATCCTGTAAACCGATATATCTGGAAGAGATAAAAACCAACAAGCTTACTGGCTGCATCACCAGATGAAAATAGTAAATTAAAAAAAATGTAAATTAATACAGCTATCACATCTAAGAATTGGTAAGCTGCAATATAATAAGTATTTGTTTTAAGATTTTATACTGCTTTAAGTTAAAAAAAACCTTGAGCCTTTAAAACCACTTTAACTACTTGCCAACTGCAGATAGCCGAATGACTGCTACACTGCGACCGGCCAATTCTGGAAGGGCGTCACATGATGTCCTCCCAGAACGCGCTCTCCTGCGCGCCCCCGGCGATCTCCGTGCACTTCCCTCACGCTGTCAGAGCGCGAGGAAAGTACTGGCGAGAACCAGCAGTTGTCAAAGCAGGGATTGTCACCGATCATCAGGGCACTGATGATCAGTGCCCTGATGATCGGTGCCCAGCAGTGCCACCCACACCTGTGCCCAGCAGTGCCACCTACCTGTGCCCAGAAGTGCCACCCACCTGTGCCCACTAGTGCCACCCACCTGTGCCCACTAGTGCCACCCACCTGTGCCCACTAGTGCCACCACCTGTGCCCACCAGTGCCCATCAATGTAGTGCTGCAGTCAGTGCCACCAGTCAGTGCTCAGCGGCTGTGCCAGTCAGTGCCGCCAGTCAGTGCCCAGCAGTGATGCCAGTCAGTGCCACCTATCAGTTCTGTCTATCAGTACCCATCATCAGTGCCGCCTATCCGTGACACCTCATTAGTGCTGCCTATCAGTGCCGCCTATCCGTGCCACCTCATTAGTCCTGCCTATCAGTGCCGCCTATCAGTGCCACCTCATTAGTCCTGCCTATCAGTGCCGCCTATCAGTGCCCTTCAGTGCTGCCTATCAGTGCCGCCTCATCAATGCACATCAGTGAAGGAGAAAAATTACCTGTTTGAAAAATGTTGTAATAGAAACAAAGAAATTTTTTTTTCTTCAAATTTTTTGCAATTTTTTTTGTTTATAGCGCAAAAAGTAAAGCGCTCAGCGGCAATTAAAAACCACCAAAAGAAAGCTCTATTTGTGAGAAAAAAATGTTAACAATTTCATATGGGCACAATCTTGCATGACCGCGCAATTGTCAATCAAAGTGTGACAGCGCTGAAAGCTGAAAATTGGCCTGGTAAAGAAGGGGGTATAAGTGCTCGGTATGCAAGTGGTTAAAGCATAACTTCACCCAAAAGGGGAAATTCTGCTTTTCTTCCTCCTCCACCCCCTCCTCTATCATGTCTGGAATTTTTTTTTAGGGGGGGGGGGGGGGGGGGGGGGGGGGGGGGAGGAGACGCGAGCAGATACACAGTTTTGACAGGTATGTGCTCCCCACTTCTGCTCCAAATGGTTATGCGATCAGAATGGAAGTTTTCCTTCTTATACCCACAGCCTCTTGGGACAAGTCACAGGTCCCAGGAGGCTGTGGTACCATTCAGACAGTGCAGCTTGCAAATGCACAGTGGGTAGCCACCTGTGAAGCCGCAAAGAATTACAGCCGACTTCTCTTAGTAAACATACTGGTGCTGGGGACCCGAAGATCTGGTTCATGTGAGAACAGCACTGGATCTGTGGACAAGCAAGTGTCTATTTTTTTAAAAGTCAACAGCTATAGTATTTGTAGCTGCTGACTTTTGAATTTTTACAAACTGATTGTAGCTCCTCTTTAAAGGACAAGTTCCCCTTTTGGAACACGTTACATGTTCCACCTGTATTTTGTAAAATGTTCCAGCAGCTGCAGCCTCTCCCCCTAATTCCCCCTCTCTGTGACAGTGAGTGGGGTATCTTTTCCCCATGCCCGCTATCACCATTAGAAATAACCCCACATCATTTAAAGTCTCCTCTGAGGGCACAAACTACAACTACCTGCAGCTTTTGTGGCTGATGGCTTCTAGTACTGAATGGACTGTGAGGTCACTGATAATTCATTCACAAGCTCTGCAGCCTGTATGAAGGTAGGGGTTGAAATCTGAAGGGCTTGTCTGCAGGAATGTGGCATTGCACCCGATACACTGATCATAGGTGCAATGCTTTCCAGTCTCCTTAGGGAAAAAATAATAAACGCGCATTTTTTTCCAATGCAAACATACCGTATGTGCATTTATAATTTTTTCCCAAAAGGAGAAATTATCCTTTAGGAGCTTACTCACTTTAACTTAGCAGGTGTGGAAATGTGCCCCTCGGTGACCTTTATTTAAAGACAAATGTAAGAAAACCACTTTATGCTAATGCTCTGTGCTGCCAATGCAGATCTGCATGTAAAGTGCACAGTTTGTATCCAGTTATATCACCAGACATTCTTGACACAAGCCTGTGTGTTATACCTGCATGTGCAGTAATACAAATGTCCATCCTTATGCATTTGCCTGGCTAGTTCAAGCTGATGGTTGGACATCAGTTTTTCATTAATCACAACAATTAGAGGTTTTTTTTTCTTCTAGTGTCTCTAGGCAGCTTCCAGCACCTAAAAAAAAAATAATTAGGCAAAATTTCAGTTTAATGTACTTTTGTTGGCAATATACTTCATATGTTACAGTTAAGAAGAGGATACAAGGATATAAATATTAGATGTGATAGAAAGGACAAAATTATTAACTGCATATACTTTTAGTTGAACAGGAAAAGTTTATCAGGTATTGTTAAGGACTGTAATAATTTCTTGAAAGCTTTTTTGCTGCATATTGCATATTATTCATGAATAATCAACAACCAACGTGAGTGGAATGATGCCCACTGCTCTGACCAGTTCTTGTGGTGCACCAAAATGAAAATTCTGGTGCTGAAACAGATACCGAAAATTCAGAATGCATGTGGCCGAAAACCGAACCGAAACCGACTGTCTGTGCATGTGGGGGTGGGGAGGCTCCACATTTATTTTGCATATATACAGTGAAGGAAATAAGTGTTTGATCCCGTGCTGATTTTGAATGTTTGCCCACTCACAAAGAAATCATCAGTCTAAAAATCGAATGGTGAGTGTATTGTAACACTGGGAGACAGAATAGCAACACAATATTCAAAAGAAATGCATGTCTATCAAATGATGCACTGATTTGCATGTTCATGAGGGAAATAAGTATTTGATCCCTATCATTCAGCAGGATTTCTGGCTACCAAGTGTCTTTCATACAGGTAACAAGCTGAGATTAGAAGCAGTCTCCTATAGGGAGTGCTGCTAATTTCATTTGGTTACCTGTATAAAGGGCACCTGTCCACAGGAGCAATCAAACAATCAGATTCCAAACTCTCCACAATGGAAAAGACCAAAGAGCTGTCCAAGGATGTCAGGGACAAGATTGTAGACCTACACAAGGCTGGACTGGGCTACCAAACTATCGGCAAGCAGCATGGTGAGACGGTGACAACAGCTGGTGCAATCATTCACAAATGGAAGAAACACAAAACAACTGTCAGTCTCCCTAGGTCTGGTGCACCATGCAACATCTCACCTCGTGGAGTGTCGATGATCATGAGAACAGTGAGGAATCATCCCAGAACTACACGTGAGGATCTTGTCAATGATCTCCAGGCAGCTGGGACCACAGTCACCAAGAAAACAATTGGTTACACGCTAAGCCGACAAGGATTGAAATCCTGCAGTGCCCACAAGGTCCTTCTGCTCAAGAAAGCACATGTTCAGGCCCGTCTGAAGTTTGCCACTGAACATCAGAATGATGCAGAGGAGGACTGGCTGAAATTGTTGTGGTCAGATGAAACCAAAACTGAGCTCTTTGGCATCAACTCAACTCGCCGTGTTTGGAGGAGGAGGAATGCTGCCTATGACCCCAAGAACACCATTCCAACTGTCAAACATGGTGGTGGAAACATTCTGCTTTGGGGGTGTTTTTCCGCTAAGGGGCAGGACAACTGCACCGCATCAAAGGACAATGCACGGGGCAATGTACCGTCAAATCTTGGGTGAGAACCTTAAAATCTTTGGGTGAGAACCTTCCCTCAGCCAGGGTATTGAAAATGAGAGTCGTGGATGGGTGTTCCAGCATGACAATGACCCAAAACACACGGCCAAGGCAACAAAAGAGTGGCTCAAGAAGAAGCACATTAAGGTCCTGGAGTGGCCTAGCCAGTCTCCAGACCTTAATCTGATTGAAAATCTGTGGAGGGAGCTGAAAGTTCGAGTTGCCAAATGTCAGCCCCCAAACCTTAATGACTTGGAGAGGATCTGCCAAGGGGAGTGGGCCAAAATCCCTCCTGAGATGTGTGCAAACCTGGTGACCAACTACAGGAAACGTCTTGCCTCTGTGATTGCTAACAAGGGATTTGCCACCAAGTACTAAGTCATGTTTTGTGAAGGGGATCAAATACTTATTTCCCTCATGAACATGCAAATCAGTGCAGAATTTGTTAGACATGCATTTCTTTTGAATTTTTTGTTGCTATTCTGTCTCTCAGTGTTACAATACACCTACCATTCGATTTTTATACTGATGATTTCTTTGTGAGTGGGCAAACATTCAAAATCAGCAGGGGATCAAATACTTATTTCCTTCACTGTATATACAGTATATATATATATAATTTTTTTTTTTTAAACTTATGATTTGATTGCTATCACATAGGGGACCAACAGTCCCCTATGTGATAGCATAAAAATGACAGGCCATCTTTGTAGGGGTGAGGGGGTATGAGGGCAGTGTGTGAAAGGAGGGGGCAGGAGGAGCAGTGTATATAGTAAGGGAGCAGTGTATACAGTGAGGCTCTCTCATTGCTGTCACTATATGTCAGTGACGGATTTTAAATGCAATTGCCAGCTTTTTTTTTCTTCACTATAGCTCAATGAGCTGTCACTTCCCTCTGAGCTATAGGAAACTTTGCTTCTTTTAGCTCAGGGAAAAAAACTAAAAGGAAACTGTTTCTTTTAGCTGGGGGGAAAGTGACAGCTCATTCTGTGAGCTATAGTGAAGAAAAAAAAAAAGCCGGTAATTACATTTAAAAACCGGCACTGACATATAGTGACAGCCAATCACTGTATACACTGCTCCCCCTTTCACATCTGCAGTACACACAGTCCCCTGTATTGGCTAAATGTTTCCTATCGGCAAAATGTCGATAGGGCTATTTTCGGCCGAAATGTTTCAGTGGCCGAAATTTTGGTGCATCCCTAACCAGTTCCATATATTTCAATAGAGAGTACAACAGAAGAAGATTGTAATCTAGGAATATATGAAGATTTCTAGGATTATATTTACTATGAAACTATAAAAAATTACATTGATCTATTTAACCCTTTCACTGCCAGGTCCATACCACGTATGGACTTGACAGCGGGGGTGGGGGGGGGGGGGGGGGCAGGGTTACACACACTCCTGATGGCTGCAACCACTGGAATTGTGTGTGTGTGTGTATCTGACAAGCCAACTTCTGCCTGTCAAATGGGGCAGTAATAGGGCACCTCTTGCAGCACTCATTTGCTTTCACCCACCTCCAGAAACATGCACGCCCGTCATGTATCCCAGGCTCTGCTTGCCCATCTATGGGCCCAGGACTGGCATAGCAGGTGCTGCTGGATAGGAGGGAGGGAGCTGAGTGGACAAAGATTCGCTCTCCTCCCTGAAAGTGATGTGTAAACTGTCACTTCTGGGTCTCCCTCTCTGTTTTTCTATCATGGCCGGAAAAGAATGTAATGCAAAGTGATCTGCTTTGCATTACATTCAGTGGAGCACAGGGGAGACATCCAGGATCTTTTAGAGAACCTGTCACCACAAATTCATCACATCATGTTGCCTATGTGATGAAAAAAAAGTTAAGTAAAAAAAATAATTTTTGTAATTTAAAAAAACTAAAGTTGCACCCAAGCACATAAAATCCCCCCCTCCCCAAAAAATTTTTTTTGTAGCCCTCCCCACTCCCACCTATGAACACAAATGCACGTGCTGAGGGCACCTACGCATGAAAATATTGATTGCAATACACGTTACATATTGCCATGCTCACCAGAGTAAACGCAATAATTCTAGCACCAGTCCTCCTCTGTAATGCTAAACTGATGATCTATAGGGGGCTTTTAAAGCGTCACCCATGAAAAATATAGGGTACTGAAATTTGTTGCCATTTTATGGGTGCACGCAAATTTAAAGTTTGATGTGTTGGGTAACTATTTACTCATCTTTTATATTTTGCAAAAAATTGGTCATTTTTGTGTGCCCTAAAATTAACTTTAGTGTAATTTTTACTGCAATTTTGCAGTAGTATCATGTGACATAAAAAATTGGAACTGCCACTAATTTATTATTATCTAGGATGTCTGCTTTCAGAAGATATATAATGTTTGGGGTGTCTTATGTAATCTTCAGGCCTAAAATTATTTTTTTAAACATGTGTGCAAAAAACAGAAAAACGGCTCTGGCAGGGAAAGGGTTAAACAGACAGACAAAATACCAGTTTGCTACCTGCATGGCTTATCACTAAATCTGCATTCCTAATGTCTCGGACAAGGGAATCTTTGTATCGGAAAACATCCATAGAAAAATTGGGAGTATTGTACGGCTCTGGCTCCACCGTTCCCCTTCCAATCTGAAGAATCATTCTGCTGTATCCAAGTTCTCGGAGGATCTGCACAAAGACAAAAACAGTTCAATGTCACAGATAAACTGATTGTATGTTGTAACAGAAGAGGTATAGAATCCAGAGAGAGAGAGAGATCATCCTGCCCCTGTACAAATAATAGGAACACCTCATCTGGAATGTGCTGTTCAGTTTTGGGCTTCAGTTCACAAAATGGATAAATCGGAGAACTGGAGAAAGTTCCCAAACTGTACTCTCTCCGATCCTCGCAAGACCTTCTGCTCTCTAGCTCCCTTGTCTCCTCCTCCCATGCTCATCTCCAGGACTTCTCCAGAGCTTCCCCCATCCTCTGGAACGCTCTACCCCAAGTTATCAGACTATCGCCTACTCTGATCACTTTTAGGCGATCACTGAAAACCTCTCTCTTCAGCTAATAATGGAATCTTCTACTCTTCCAACCAGTCCATCCCCCACAGTTGCTACCTTTTGTACCAGTAGCCCCTCCCTCCTAGATTGTAAGCTCCAAGGAGCAGGGCCCTCCTAACCCTCTTGTATTGAATTGTATTGTTGCTGTATTGTCTCCCATTATATTGTAAAGTGCTGAGCAAACTGATGGCGCTAAATAAATCCTGTATAATAATAATAATAAAGTGCAGTCAGGTAAAAACATCCTATCAGAGCCCATCTTCCACTGGGTGGATTTTGATTGGTTATTGGGCTTACAACACTGGCTATAGAAGTGTCCGGCTCCTCCCCTTCCTGCACCTACATTAGTCCCCGGTGATGGTAATGTACACAGATGGAGCTCCTCACAGTGCTGTCAGTAGCAGGGACCTTACACTTGTGCAGCATTCAGAGGACACGCAGGAGATGAGCTCATCAAAGCTGGTGGTCCCCACGGTGACAAACACCCTCTTCCCCATCCCGGCCTCTGCACGGTGTTCTATGGCTCCGTCTCTTCCTGCTACCACGAGAGGCGACCAGCGATTGGTTCTAGCTGTCACGTCTTCATTGGTCTCCAGGTGTCGCTGTTTACTATTGGATCACGTGTCCTGAGCTGGTGCTGTCACATGATCAGCACACCACGCTGCTCCTAATAGTGACAGAAGGAAGAGAACACGTGGACGGGCGAAGCAGTTCTGCGGGGAGACGGAGCGTGAGTATGGAAAAATGTCATCATTACGTTCTACTACTGCACGCAGGACACAGACTTGGCTATCAACTTTGCACGGTACGCAGTGGAAGGAGCTTTGTCACATTCTGCAAATAGAAGTCCCAGGTCACATCAATCCCGACATTGAAATCATGCAACTTACAGAGAAGCAGGGCGGAGTGACAACTCAAGGGGCCCCCGGGCAAAAGGGATCATGGGGCCCCTGTGTCCTTGCACACACTCAAAAAAGCCTATAAAAAAGGTACCAGGGGCATTTCATGGGGCCCCTACTGACCCCGGGCCCTCGGGCAGTGCTCGAATGGTCAGTCCGCCCCTGCAGAGAAGTCTCACGATTTCAAAGTTGGGGGACCCGCTGATTTCAGGTACGATTTGCAAGACATCTGACACAGATGTCTGCAAATCGCACAAAAAGTAGTGTATGCACTACTTTAGAAATTGGTGCGGCTCTGACCAAGTCGGAACCCCACCGATATGACAGCTGTAATTGCGGACAATAGGGTGCGACTTGGCATACGATTTACAAGTTGCGTGGCATGCAAATCGTATGCAGTGTCGCACCCAGTGCAACCGGGGTGGTAAAATTGATTCAAATAAAAATATATATATCTAATAACCATATACTGCTCAAAATATGGAACACTTTGAAAACACATCAGATCTCAATGGGGAAAAATATCATGCTGGATATATATACTGATATGAACTGGGTAATGTGTTAGGAACGTAAGGATACCCCATCGTTTGATGGAAATAAAAATTATGAACCTACAGAGGACTGAATTCAAAGACAACCTGAAAATCAAAGTGAAAAAATGACGCAGCAGGCTAGTCCATTTTGCTGAAATTTCATTGCAGCAACTCACAATGGTACTCAGTAGTTTGCATGGCCCCCACGTGCTTGTATACATACCTGACAACATCGGGGCATGCTCCTAATGAGATGACAGATGGTGTCCTGGGGTATTTCTTCCCAGTTCTGGACCAGGGCATCACTGAGCTCCTGGACTAGGGGTGGGCAAACTGCGGCTCTCCAGCTGTTGTGGAACTACATTTCCCATGAGGCATTGCAACATTACAAAATTGACAGTTACAGCTATGACTTGCATGATGGAACTTGTAGTCCTGCAACAGCTGGAGAGCTGCAGTTTGCCCACCCCTGTCCTAGACAGTCTTAGGTGCAGCCTGGTGGCGTCCAATTTAGTTTGGATTTAAGTCTGGTGAGCATGGGGGCCATTCAATGGTATCATTTCCTTCGTTCTCCAGGAACTGCCTGCATACTCTCACCACATGAGGCCGGGCGTTGTCGTGCACCAGGAGTATCCCAGGACCCACTGCACCAGCGTAGGGTCTGACAATGGGTCCAAGGATTTCATCCCGATACCTAATGGCAATCAGAGTGCCATTGTTTAGCCTGCAGAGGTCTGTGTGTCCCTCCATGGATATGCCTCCGCAGACCATCACTGACCCACCACCAAAACGGTCATTCTGAATGATGTTACAGGCAGCATAACATTCTCCATGGCTTCTCCAGACCCTTTCACGTCTGTCACATGTGCTCAGGGTGAACCTGCTCTCATCTGTGAAAAGCGCAGGGAGCCAGTGCCAGACCTGGCAATTCTGGTGGTCAATGGCAAATGCCAATCAAGCTCTATGGGGCCGGGCAGTGAGCACAGGGCCAACTCGAGGATGTTGGGCCCTCAGGCCACCCTCATGAAGTCTGTTTCTGATTGGTTAGAGACCTTCACACCAGTGGCCTGCTGGAGGTCATTTTGTACGGCTCTGGCAATGCTCATCCTGTTCCTCCTTTCACAAACGAGCAGATACCGGTCCTACTGATGGGTTAAGGACCTTCTACGGCCCTGTTTAGCTCTCCTAGAGTAACTTCCTGTCTCCTAGAGTCTCCTCCGTTCTCTCGAGACTGTGCTGGGAGACACAGCAAACCTTCTTGCAATGGACGTATTGATGTGCCATACTGTAGGAGTTGGCCTGCTTGTGCAACCTCAGTAGGGTCCAGTTACCGCCTCAATACTAGTAGTGACACTGACCCTAGCCAAAAAATAGTGAGAAAAGACAAGTGGCCTCCACCTGTAAAACCGTTACTGTTTTTGGGGTTCCTCTCATTGTTGCCCATCTAGCGCACCTGTTGTTAATTTCATTAACACCAAAGCAGCTGAAACTGATTAACAACCCCCTCTGCTACTTAACTGACCAGATCAGTATTCCAGGAGTTTAATTGACTGGATGCTCTACTCTGATTAAAAAGTGTTCCTTTCATTTATTTGAGCAATATATACACACACTATATTGCCAAAAGTACTGGGACACCCCTCCAAACCATTGGATTCTGGTGTTCCAATCACCTCCATGGCCACAGGTGTATAGAATAAAGCACCTAGGCATGCAGACTGCTTCTACAAACATTTGTGAAAGAATGGTTCACTCTCAGGAGCTCTGTGAATTCAAGTATGGTACAGTGATAGGTTGCCACCTGTGCAGTACAGTAAGTCCATCCGTGAAATTTCCTTGCTACTAAATATTCCACGATTGACTGTTAGTGGTATTATAACAAAGTGGGAACAGCAACTCGGCCATGAAGTGGTAGGCCACGTAAAAGGACAGAGCAGTTTCAGAGCTTGCGGAAGTGCACAGAAGTCGCCAACTGTTTGCAGAGTCAATAGCTAAAGACTTCCAAACTTCATGTGGCCTTCAGATTAGTAGAACAACAGTGCGTAGAGAGCTTCATGGAATAGGTTTCCCTGGCCGAGCAGCTGCATCCAAGCCTTACATCACCAAGTGCAATGCAAAGCGTTGGATGCAGTGGTGTAAAGCACGCCACCACTGCACTCATTGGAGCGGTGTTCTCTGGAGTGATGAATCATGCTTCCTAACAACATCATCAGCTCTAGTGACTCTTAACACCCTGGTCACATTGGATGCAAATTGGCATGCAATTTGCAGCATCCATGTGACGGTGCTGACCAATCAATTAGATAACCTAGAGCTGCTTCCAGGGGCATAAAAAAGCATGACACCTCTAACGATTGCATTTTTAATGCCTCTATACATGAGGTCTCAAAGGATAAGTTTACCTTTTGTAACATGTTACACCCATATTCAGGTTGTAACATGTTACCAACAGATTGGCCCCCGTACCCCACTGATCCCTGCTGTGACAGCTAGTAGGGGATCTTCTCCTCCCTGCTAGCTGTCACAATTTTAAAAAGGCACATCCATGCAGGGCTCTGGCCACATCACTCATTCACAGTGTTATGTGAATTAGAACAATGCAAGTTCCGACAACCGTTGTGGCTGTTGACTTGTAATTCTAAATGAAATACCACGACGAGGTGGAGCACCATGGTAGTTCATTGAGCCATCCTCTCAGTATCTGCTTGCCCATACGGGATCTACAAGCAAGCTGATACAGTGACAGGCAGAGGGAGACCTGCATGGCACCAGCGATCTGCTGATCACTGGTGAAATGCTTTAGAGACTCGAGAAACAAAAAATAATAAATGCATTTTTTTTTTTTTTTACCTGCAAAAAAAAGTGCCTTTATTTTTTTGTTAAAAGGCGAACATATCCTTTTAAGCTTAGTACACACGATCAGAAAATTGGTTACAGTTTTCATCCAAAAATACAATACGTTACATCACTTCTGAATTTTTATTCTGTTGTACAAGAATTTTCATGTCTTTAGTAAACTGTTCACTTTCAATATGAGACTAGCATGCAAAGAAAAAAAAAAAGTGTGTACAGGGCTTTAGTGTTGTGACGGCTCAGATCTCCTTAGTTGCTCCTTTGCTGACACCTTTTGCCCCATCTCCTTCCAGGTTCATTATTTTCAGCCATCATGATAGGCTGAGAGAATGTAACCCTAACATGGGATTTACTGCTTCTCCACATCAAAGGCATGCTGACAATTGACAGGTTGCTATACATGTACAAGTGTACATGAAAAAAATTGCTAGAAGGTAAGAGAAGTGCTTTTATATAGCACCACAGACAATAGACAATGCAGTGCCTCTTTTACAGTAAAAAAAAAAAAACACTTTCCTGCCAACATTTTTTTTCTAGCATTTAAACAGAGCTAAATAATATGGTGTTTTTTTTTCTCAAATGTGGAAGAAGGCACTTTTTAATTTTGGAAATAATAAAGAAGAGTTATATAACCCCTGTCAGGTTTTTTTTTTGCCCATCTTTGTCCCATTGGGGAGATTTCCCTTCTGTTCCTGTCCCAAAGCCAAAACCGGAAGTAAGAGGAAACCCTGGTTTCACCTGAACTAATGTCCCCATTGGAAGATTTCCTCTCTTTCTGTTGACAACCCAAAATTTGGAATTTTTTTCTGTTGATAATGGTTACGGAAGAGCTTAAAGTTTGGTCCAAACAATATATGTGCAATGACTGGAATCATGTGACATCATCGACCAAATACAGCCACATCCATAAATGGCTAATAACACTCCTTTGTTTATAACAACTGTAATTTGCCAGACCTAACATTCAGTGGGAGCAACGAGAAGAAATGTGTGTTGGAGATTGATTGGTCTTATTTCTTTCGGCAGGTTGGTGAGCATCTGGCATCATGATTGATGTGGATCTACATCCCTATGCAACGTGATTGACGGTGGATTTACATTGTGGGACTTTTTTTTTTTTTTTTTTTTCCCATTTATATAAAGAACTTGTAAAAAAATTGTGTCTGCCTCTATTTACAGTTTAAATTTTTGTGCATGAGCACTCCCCCCCCCGCGCCCCCCCCCCCCCCCCCATTGTGGCCATGTATGATGCAGAAGGGGTTAGATGGCCCCCCCCCCCCTCCTTTTTTTGCCCGCCAGACTGCATGGTCGGATAAAGAT